AAAAAAAAAAATACTTGTAAAGAAACTATTATTATAACTGGCCTCCACTGGCAGCAGTGTGATGGAGTAGTTACTCCAATGGGCCCTCCTGTACAAAACTAGGTCTTTGGCTAAAACAACAATTGTTAGTGCATTGAGGGGCTCAAGAAAGTAAAGAAAAACAACAAATACTCCAACACAAATGCCAATACAGTAAAGCCCACTATTAGGAGACCAAGCCCACAGTCGGTGTCAAGGAAGATAAGGGACTTCAAAGCCATTAAGAGCTGTTGGAAGAAGTTGAAGTGGCATCAGGTGGTACAGACCCTGGACACACCCCTCTTTAGAAGCAAATGTAAATCCTCTCTTATTTAGGGCCTCAGAATAAGCTCAAACAAACATAATCAACATCATCAAATACATAAGGAAACAAGCCATCAGAAGTGTCTGCAGAAGCCAACAACAGATTTAGGCCACTAAGAACTTAAAATATTGGATTTATGAGACATGAAATGTAAAATAAATATCAGTATTACCTTGGCAATAATGGAGCATAATACCAAGACAGAAGAAAGGAAAACTCACATTGAAGGCAAAAGGAAAATGGAAATAATTTTGTAGAACTTCATAGTTTTGCCTAGGGCCAGCTTTGTCCCCTTTGACTAATTCTCAAAGGCATGGAATAATGGCAAGAGCTATCCTCACATAATGACACAAATTCTCTCTAACAATCTGCTACCACATCATACATAGCCTATGGGAAAATGTTCAAATACAAAATCCTCACAAATTTAGATTACAAACGGAGAGCTTACTGATAGTCACATTACTCTCATAAAGACTGCTTCACTGAAAATGCCAGCAATATCCATGTGATCACAGCAGTATTACAATGGATTGGGATAAAGAAAAAAAATGCTGCGTGTGGAATAAGCCAACATACCTAAGATGCCGCAGTTGACTTTGCTCAATTGTTTGCAGATGGTCCTCTACTTTTGTAAATTCAACCTGTACTACTGTATATTATCTAGTCCAGTCTTTTGCACACCTAATTCAGATATTCATATAGTAGCTGAGAAACAGATACTTTAACAGTTACTGCAACGTGAAGCTTGTTCCCATTCAGCAGTATCTGTACAATAATTTAATTTCTTATATAAATCGTAAAAATAAATTAGTGGAAAATATGAAAAGAGCTAAAGTAGAAAGCTCAAACTAACAACATAAGACTAAGATGAAAATGATTACAAATGCCAAAAACAGAAAGTCTTTAGCCTTAGAAAGATATTCATTGGACTCAAGCTGGTAGAGCAACAGAGGCCTTAATTATAAACAAAAAGTACAATATTAAAGAACATGGATAATGTCCTGAATTGTTAACTCCATATACAAGAATGTCGGTACACAGAATCATTGTTCATCGGCGCCCACAGATGACTCTTTCAGTGAGACCACCACCTTGATAATGTGGCCTAGAGTGGAAAAATGTTGCTTTTCTACTGCCCTATGCTAGGTTACCTAGGATGTACAACAAAAAACATGCTTCTCAAGCTTTAAGTCCAGGAAACAGGGGCAAAGAGAATATTCTGGGAGGCTGTGTGGTCCCAAAATAAATACATTATATCTCTCAAGTGTGTCAATTTACTCAATGGTATATAATGAAAAATAATTTTATATTAAAATAAAAAAGATAGTATGCTAAATAAAGTATAAAGTATGCATAATTTTTAGGTCATAATATAAAACAAAATGTTGGGTTTACAAGTGTTGGCAGAACTATGCACTCAGACCCTATGGGAATAAACATTCACCCCATTCTTGGGTGATGCCCGTTGCTCAGTGGGTAGGGTGCCAGCCACGTACACTGAGGCTGACCTGGACCAGCTAAAACAACAACGACAACTACAACCAAAAAATAGCTGGGCATTGTAGCGGGTGCCTGTAGTCCCAGCTACTTGGGAGGATGAGGCAAGTGAATTGCTTAAGCCAAGAATTGGAGGTTGCTGTGAGCTGTAATGCCACAGCCCTCTACCCAAGGTGACAGCTTAAGACTCTTGTCTGAAAAAAAAAAACAATTCATCCTATTCTTGCTTCTAGACTTTGTGGAAAGGTTTGTACTCAAGTAGAACCATGTTTCTGGTACTGTCAGCACCATAAACTTAAGACTAGCATGTGTTCATTTTGTCCATTAACAAACATGAAAAATACAATTTTGATTAAAAGCTCTGTTTAGAGATCAGTATATACTTAACAAACATAGAAGGCAAATAAGTTATCAAAGTAGTAAATCAAACATATTTCTCTCTTAAAACTCAAAATCAATGAATAAAGCACAAGCTCTGAAAATCATGCTGAATGAAAAACAGCAATTGTGCAAGATGCAGGAGTTATCTGGAGACAGTTACATTAAATTAACTTGATTCTATATAATTCTCACAAACACACCCTCCTAGAATAAACAAAGTTCATAACATTCAAAACACCAAAATTTGGCAGAACTTCCCATACACCAACTTAGTTGATTTCTCAATCCTTGATTAAGTCCATGACTACCACATTCAGTTACATGGTATGTCAAAGAACGCAACAGTTGATTCAGAAAGAGAATCAAAACCGGCAAAAACAATCTTCCTATACCCACTTAGAAAGTCTTGACTTTATTATGTTCCATTCCTTCTTAGAGAGTGGGAAAGAGAAACTATATTTTGCCTGTTGCCAGTTTAGGGGAGGAAAAAAGAAGAAATCGCTGCTTTTTCAGTACCATGAATCAAATGTATTGTCTTAAACGGCCTGTTATTATTGAAATAAGCTTTGGTGAAGTGAAAAATGCCCAATCTCTAAAACTGCAGCAAAGTTCCATTTGTTTATCTATCTGCATATAGAAAAGACGGTGCACGTGTAAGTTCTGGCAAATTCCATCCAGTCTACAAACTTCCTACCAAATTAAATGAAAAGTTCTTGGCCGCCAAATGTTCCTTGTTCACAGCATTGCTATAAGAAATTGATTGCCTTCCCTGTGATGTGATATCTGCCACTGTCACTGAAGAACTTAGTGAGATTTTGACCTTATAGAAACAGAAAAAAATAGCCTCGTCTGATAAGAACCTACAAAATGTTTATCAAAGTGTGCTCCGGCCAGGAACAGATGTTAAAATATTAGAAAACTGCAAAACCATACTTTCAAAGTATTGGTCAAGAAGAATGTCCCTCTCTAAGTTGAAAATATATTGAGGATGAGAACAAAGAAAAAGATTATAGTAAAATAGAAATTTATATTCTATTTCTCCAAAACTGTTTTATAATCTTGAAAGAGGTCATAGGAGCCTTAAAAATGATGAACTGACCTATGTTGTTTGGTAGTAATTACAGGAAATTCCTCCATTATCATGTGTCTCAGAAAGAAAAAAGAGATACACCTGGTCACTCTACCACTGTAAGCTGAAAGTACTGTAAACGACTATTTTGCTATACTATGGGCTTTTGATTTGCTCTGAATGTAACATAATTCCTTAATATATTTAGATGGTAACAACCAGAATTTGTATAAGATTTTTGACAACTAAGATAGTTTTTGCATACTCTGGTTTCTCTTCAAATCAAATAAATCTTCCCCTTTTTTAAAAATGGTATTTGGGGGTTTTGTTTGTTTGTTTGTTTGTTTTTAGGTAGGGTCTATCACTTGGGTTTGATTACAGCAGTGTGATCATAGCTCACAGCAACCTCAAACTCCTGGACTCAAGCAACCCTCCTGCTTCAGCCTCCCAAGTTGCTAGAACTACAGGTGCACGCCACCACGCCCAACTAATTTCTTCATTTTTTTGTAGAGACAGTTTCACTGTGTTGCCCAGGCTGGTCTCCAACACCTGACCTCAAGCAGCCTCCCACTTCAGCCTCCCAGAGTGCTGGGATTACAGGCATGAGTCACTATGCCTGGCATGTTTTATCTTTGTAATGTTATACATGACATATCTAGAACATCTCCAAAAGCCATACTTACTGTAACTGGCAGGAGCTTTTTCTTCATATGTAAAATGAAGTTGTAATTCCTCCTCTGACATCTCACTGATGAACACTTTCAGCAAACAGCAAATAATAAACAAAGCGTTGTGTGTCTGCCAAATGAAGATGTGGCTAGAAAGGAAAGACCAAAATCACACGAGAATCAATATTTAATGATAAGCATGATCCATTTATTTCTAGTTCATGATTTGTCAGCCATTTTGTCCATCCTATTTGTAATATTAAAACATTGGACCGGCTCGGCGCCTATAGCTCAACCGGCTAAGGCGCCAGCC